CTGATTGTTGGGAGAGATGCCGAAAGATGATCTGAAATAGGTCTAGATACTTTATTCTAACTGAAAGGAAGATATAGTTCAATTTTAGAAAGTGTCCTGAGATGATTTTCATTTAGGGCCGTTTTACGTGCAAACCGTTCCCCCTCCTTTGATGTCGTTATGCTTGAATGATTCTCGACGAAAAAGAAATTTTATTCTAATTACCTTGAATGTTCTGATTGATTCAAATTTGCCTACAGGTAAACATATCTATAATAATATCTTTATTGATTTTATTAAAATATTTCGTGTAGAAACGGACTCTATACGATGTAACAGATGTTATCCCAATCAATACTCTACTCTTATTATATCAGTTTGGATATACGTACAAACGAGAATGTTTCTCTATAGAATATTTTATTGGATAAATAATTTCATAATCTTTAAATAAAAAATGAATTACAACAATAAATAGAATATTCATCTTACTTATTGAATAGTATTTGTTAATATAATATATATCACTTTCGTAATTAAAAATAAATGGGTACACATCAATTAAATTAGTTTCAATGAAAATTCCATTCTTTTCAATAGAGATATCTTAAAAATACAATTTTTAAATAAACAACAAGCATTATTTCTTTTATGTTGCAAAGAACTTTGTTTTTATTAAATAAACTTCATCAATAACTAAGGATGTGAGTTCGTTGCATTCATGCTGAATACCACTTCTTCTCCAACATCCCTCTTCCATACCCAAACTCTCTCTCTACAATAATAAATATCTAATCATAAAAGAAAATTTCTTGTATAAATGATACTTCTCAAAAATTAAAAAGACCCTGTTGATGTTGATATACATAAAATAAGTTTTTTATCTACACTCCTGGACAAAGTTGTTCTTCTCTCCTTGTGCATGTGCTATCATGCTTTTATTACTTATATCTCCACTTGACAATAAATTTCATTTAAAGTATGATGGTACAGAAAAAAAAGAAGACATAAATTTCGCTACAGATGTGTTTGATTTCTATAAGAGAAGTTTCTTATGCGTTCGGATTTGAATAAAACTCTATCATTTGTAACCGTTTTTCTCTAGAATTTGATGAATTGTACAATTATAATTAATGTGGGAACGTTTTCGAGCTGAGAATGGGGCTCATTCTGTAGAGATCGGTGAACTATGATTACTCAGAAACCAATTTATGTTCATGACTTGTTTCCGAGAAGATCGAATATTTATAGTATTATAAACTTATATTTCTATCATATCTCGACTAAATGATGTCAAAATGATTTCCAATTCTAACAAAATCTCCAGTGCCTGTAGCAATTTTAGTTCTAAACATTTTTAGAAAAAAATTTATTTAAAATATTTTTGTGAAAATGTTTAGAAATATGCTGCAAGCGCTGAAGCTTTCGTCAGAATTGAAGATTATTTTAATACAATGAGATTGTTCACTGAACTGTACAAGATGAGCCGATACTCAGTTCGAAAACATCCCGATAGTTAGATATGTTTCCTGGTAAATCTTTTAAAAATATATAGACGTACTTTCCTTTTTCCTAAATAAATTAGATTTTAAAGTTATCAGCAACAATATCTAAAATCAATCCTAATCAGATGTCGTCCGAGTCAATCTTATCCTTAGATGATCCCAGTCGTGTTCTATTCAAATCCACCATTTACCAAGTAGACTTCTGAAGGCTCGATCTCATCCCTAACTGATCGAAACTAAAATTTCATCTAATTCAATCCAATTTAAAGCATTAAAAGGTCAGTTAAAGCCCGCTCATTGTGAATTCTTCTACGATTCAAACCTAGAGACCCCTCGATTCTGGTAAATCCAAATAAAGAATGCAATTGTGGTTCAGAGGCGAGCATGCCATCATAACGCTAGACTTACAGGTGATGCCTCCAAATTGTGCCTTGAACTTGTGAATTTCTCTTGAAAACTCATCTTTCTTGAGCAACATTCTCTCATAATTTTCTTTTATATTAGTGTTACTAATGGGTGCCAGCCAATGGAATATTCCTGTTGATGCCACATGGTCCCAGATGGGCATCACTGTAGCTGGAGGAAATGGTCAAGGTAAAGGGACTCATCAACTCCATCATCCACATGGTTTGTTTATTGATGATGAACAAACGATTTACATCGCTGATTATACCAATGATTGGATTGTCGAATGGAAATCTGGTGCGACGAATGGACAAGTCGTTGCTGGTGGTAATGGATACGGAAATGCAGATAATCAACTGAGCCAACCCTTGGATGTCATTGTTGACAAAGAGACAGATAGTCTTATCATCTGTGACGAAGGCAATCAAAGAGTTGTTCGATGGCCTCGTCGAGGTGGAAAAAAAGGTGAAACACTGATTTCAAATTACTTTTACACCAGCTTAACTATGGATAACCAAGGATCACTTTATTTCGTCAATCAGTGGATGCATGAAGTAAGAAAATATCAAAGAGGTGATACGGAAGGAAAAACAGTTGCAGGTCGTAATAGAGAAGGAAATAAACTCGATCAGCTCTTTAGACCTTGGGGAGTCTTTGTCGATCGAGAACACACAGTTTATGTGTCTGACTCTGGTAATCAACGGGTAATGAAATGGGAACAAGGAGGAAAACAAGGTACTGTTGTTGCTGGTGGTCAAGGAGGAGACAGTTTAACAGAATTGTATTGTCCTCGAGGAATCGTCGTTGATCAATTGGAGACCGTCTATGTGGCCGATGAGTTAAACAATCGAATTATGCGTTGGCCCAAAGGAGCCAAACAAGGAAGTATCATAATTGGTGGAAATGGAAAAGGAAGCAATTCGAATCAATTAAATTATCCTATAGGTTTGTCTCTTGATCGTTATGGTAATTTCTATGTCGTCGATTCCGATAATGCTCGTGTTCAACGTTTTGATATTCAATAAACTCTGTCTCTTTCCATTCAAAACAATTTTTTTATGTTTCATCTCTTTCTTTGATGACGATTAGACAACGATAACTGAAGGGAAGGAAAAGAAAAAACACAAAAGAAATTAGAAACAACTCCAAAAATCGTTAAGATTTACACGCTCTTCGAAAAGAGAAACTAATTAAGTTTGCAAGAGAAAAAATCCACATGGTACATGATACCTAATTGATTCACATACATATTCGTATAGATAAGTAATCATGCATCTGGAATGGCTATTTAAAATGTTAATTAAGAATGATAAAGAGAGGAAGGGAAAGAAAAATTTCTCTTAATGATCTGTCTTCCATAGAAAGCATTTATTAAAAAACCCTTCTACTTTTCTATTCTATTTCAAAGTACTATATTATGAAAGACGCTTGATTTCATATGAATTCATAATTTTCTCTTAACTATGGAATTAAACTATATCAGCTTTTTAAAAATGTGAACAAAAATTTTGATCAATAAAGTCCAAGTGTTTATAAAAAAGATGCAGTTTTTGCAGTGAAAATGGAAATGATGATGACGAGGATTTCGTAGCGAATAAAATGGTTAGATAAAATTAGCTATGAATGTTTCTTCTGTCAATTACTCAAACACTACATTAAACACGCTTGTATAACTATCCACACCCGCATCCACAGTCAGCGTTGATCCCCACTATAATAAAATTTATAATACGAAAAATGGTCCGATAATAAATTAATAAAGCAATAACTGTCAACTGAATACTTTACTTTATCTTATTTTACTTTACATGTCAGGTAAAGTCGATACACTTTACTTTATCTAGTAAAGTAAAATGAATTGCCATAGTGTAGTTTTTAAGATTTTTGTTAAGTATTCATGGAAAGGCATCCATTTGATTATACGTATTTGTGACAAAAATGTTCATCTAAACTGTCACATCATTGTGCACAATGAGATACGATATAAAACATCGAAAAAGTTGAATACACGTTCGAGTCACATGGACAAACGTTACTCTTAGGTGAAAACATATTTATCAAGACATCAATTATCCTGAGCTTGTTTTTTCTCTTATTCTTTTTTAAAATTTCAGTTCTGTTAAGCGACGTGATGGATGTGAACTTCATTTGTGAACTGAGACATAACGAAAGTCTAATTTTTTTTATCTAAAAGACCTGATCGTAAATATTAACAGTCCCAGGGTCAACAATAACCTCGGCCAGTTTAAGATTAAGATAGCACATGGACTGACATTTTTGGATCAACAGAGAATTTCGAAATACTATTTTCAGGATATTCATTTCAATAATTGGATCCAGTTGAATTGTCGAAAAGTATAATAAAATCAACAAAATTCTATCGAGTTCTGTAAGACGGAACTATTTTCAGATCTCTAGTATTCGATCTTATTAGATTCACGCGTAGGATCTTGAACTATCTGCATTCTGTATTGTAACATAAGATAAAAACAAAACTTTGAATGGAAAATTCAATAGAATTCAAATGCTGATTTTGTTGCTTTAGTGATTGAATCAATTTCTTCTTCGTCAAAGTTTAAAAGTCTTAATTTTCTAGGCAGTTCAAATGAAATTGTTTTTCATCTAAACAAAAAGAAAAATGCTAAAATATGACAGTTAAAATTATGAGTGTTTGTTTTAGATTAGAAAGTAATTGATAATTATTGGTTTCAATTCATTCTAATTTCATTTATCGATGGTAATTATGTCTCTTACTGATCTTCCTGTCGAACTTGTTCATCGAATTTTCGATTATTGTGATATAACAACAATACTTTCTGTTCGTATTATCTGCAAACAGCTATATCTGATGACTAATGTTTATGATCGATATGAACTTGATTATGATTATTCAACAGCAGATGAATTATCTTTAATTATTCGTCTTATACGACCTGAAAAGTTTGTCTCCCTGATATTGTCCAATGATGACATGGAAGATGACTGGTTTACTGAATTGATTTTACTTCTCGATATTCGTCAGTTAAGTCGACTTCGTTCATTAACTCTTTCCGATCTAAATGATGTGGAATTGGAGTATATTTTACGCACGGTAAATTCCGACTCTCTTCTTTCACTTTCAATTCATTTTGATGAGAAGAAATATAGTGAAGTATTTGATATTGTATCATCAACAATTGCAAGACTCAATGTACGAAGACTTGATATAAATACTATTGGCTACAACGAGAAACATATAACATGGCCAACTGAATGCTGTTTGAAATACGTGATTATCGATACCTGCACATATAATCATTTCAAAATTATGATTCATAGTCTACGTTATTTAGAAAATGTTTCTATAAAAGATTGCATCATACATAATAAAAACAACAGAAATGTATTATTATCTGCATCTACATCATATTCATCATTGAAATCTCTAACAATTACTGAGAGTACACTTCCTACAAAATATATTCAATCTCTACTTTCAGAAACGCCTGATCTTCTCAATCTAAAAATGATTTCACATAAACGACAGTTTGACTCACTCTTCGATGGTGCTCATTGGGAAAAATTTATTCGAGCAAAGCTACCTTTGCTGATTAGATTCGAATTTTTCTTTGAAAGTTGTCTAAGCAAAAGACAACTAGAATATGATGGCAGATACTGTTATGATAAACAACATGGTGATGATACTCATATTAGTCTTAACTCAATTATTCTTCCATTTCGAACGCCGTTTTGGCTCGATGAAAAACATTGGCTTGTTGCTTGTGATTTTCTTCTAGGAGATGGTGATTTAAGAATCTATACAATTCCTGCTATTGTTGTTCAGAAGTGGAATCCATATAGATGTGAATTATTTCCATCAGATAGTGTACCTCGTCTTACTTCAAGATCAATAAATGAAATCATCGATACTTCTACCAATAAGGTATTTAGGAAAACTCTCTCTCAGAAAAAGTTCCAGAAATTATTTTTCTCTGAAATACGTATGTAGCTTCTCTCCTTTGACAGTGAAGAGTGATAGTTTTAACGTATATGAAAGTCTATTTTTGACAAGTTGGATTTCTGTTTCGATTTAGTTTACTGAGAGTATTTAAAGATCTAAATAGCCAAAGCCGAGGAATTGGTGCTGGGTCCCGCCAGAAAGTTCACATCAGGTCCGAAACATGAAGACACTATTGCAGTGAAGGAATCTACTGAGTGGATCTGGAAAAATTAGAAAACTAGATACGATTACCAGATTTCTTCATTGATTTCTGGAGGAAACAGCTTCTTTATTGTGGAATTCTATGATGTTTCAACCAGATTATTGCTTTGGAAACTATCAATCTGAGAAGTAATATTAATTCTATAAGATGGACTTTAAAGCAGTATGAGATACGATAGAGTGCTAGAATATATCTTTATGTTTAGCATTGAATTGAGTATGAAAATAATACTCTACACCGTTCGTGTACTTTTCAAACAGGAATATCCAAAAGGCCATCATATAATGCATGTCTATGAAAGTAATATCTGTCTAAAACAGCTCGAGTACCTCCTGAATACTTTGAAAACTCTATAAAACAATGATCCTCATTGTCTTGCCGTCATTTCTTCCTTTTAATACAGAAATTCACCACACTCAATATTGAAGATTGGAGAATCAATCGCAAACGAATAGGATATCTTGCTGATGCTTTACAACATGATACGGTGATTTACAGTCTTTCTGTATCTCTACATATGACTGATATTCTTTTCTGTAAGTAGACAATTGTCGAATTAAATCTCAAAAACAATCCAATAGGACTAAAGGGAATTCAACATATCGCTGAGGCCTTACGATACAACAAGGTAGTTTTTGGTCTTATCTTAGTTCTAGCATATATGATTTTGTTTCGTGTACAGACACTCACTAGACTGAATATTGGTATGAATGGAATCGGAATCGATGAAATAAAACATATTGCTGATACATTACAAATCAATACAGTAGTCGAGTCTCTCTATTTATCTCGCTCATATTCGCATTCTTTGCTACATAAAGACACTCAAAGCAATTGATCTTTGTCACTGTGGAATTGGAAGAAATGAAATAGATTATTTCACTAATGCTTTACAAAACAATATGGTGACTTTAGGTTTCTTATGATTGCTTGCATATCTATCTTCTCCACCCATAGACACTGACTGAATTGAACCTTGATTCAAATTATGTCGGAGATACCGCAGCAGAACATCTTGCTTGTTTTTTACGGAAGACAACTGTTAGTGATAACTTTGCTTTTTCTCTCTCATATCCATCTTTTCTAATCCTCACAGGCACTCGCTATACTACATCTTCACGACAATAAACTCAATGCTGTGGCAGCTAAACATCTCGCTGATGCATTAAAACACAATAAAGTAAACCTTAGTTAGTCTTTTTATTTCTCATACTTATCTTGTTCTTTGCCTTTAGACTCTCACTTTACTAAACATTGGCCGCAATCAAATCGGAGAGGAAGGGGCAAAATATCTCGCTGATGCCTTAAAAATTAACACGGTGAACTACACTCTGTTTTTACTTGTCAATATGCTTCTTCTCTTGTAAATCTAGACACTCCGCAAACTATACATGAATTGGAATACGATCAAAGTTGCTGGAGCACGGTATCTCAGTGATGCTTTGCGAAAAAATACGGTGAATCTCATCTACTCTATAAATCTCAATGATGTTCATCTTCAACTTGATATAGACACTTACGGACTTGGATATTATCTATAATATTATTGGAGACAAGGGAGTTGAATATTTGTGTGACGCTCTACGACATAACACAGTAATTCGTATTCTTTCTTTATCTCTTTTGTCAATTTTTCTCGTTGTCCAAATAACACATTTGTTTTATTGTACAACAAGATTTCTGAGATTACAAACAGCAAAACTTAGTTCATATTTATGTAAACAAGAAAGGCAAAAATCATGCATCTGAATGTGTTTCTCCTTTAGCAGTAACAATAAAGCTGTAATGCTTTCTAATTTACTCGTGCTCGAAATTGTATCCTTCGTTATATTGTTCTTTGAGTGTGAACACGATTCAAGTGATTTATTTATTGTCACGTCTAAATTTTTGACAAAATATTATTCGAAGCAGTGTTTTTGGTAAAAATTCTTGTTTTCAAATGTCGTTAAACTCAATTTATTTACTGAAAGTTTTTATAATAATCAAGGTAACACGATAAGCATTGTAGTTATTAAAATTTTTTATTACTGGAACTTTTCTCACCGACATTATGAATTAATAGGATGATAATGGATGATCCATACATCGCTGATTACTCAGATAAAATATGAGACGAATTGTAGTATACATTTCAAATCTGAGATATAGGTCGACCACATCTAGTTGCAGATGTAGTTTAAAATATAGACAGATGCAACAAATATTTTTCTTTTTCAATGCGCTTTGACCGAAATGAATCAGACTTGAGATCAGGTTTTTATTCAAAAATTGTTTGTATGGATAGTAACGGGTAAGATGTAATATTTATTTATAATCAAACTGCTCTATGATTTTCGTTGATTTCATACTTTTAACGAGCACTTGACATCAATACAACAGAGTTTATCATGTTTCACATTTTCAATTGCACAATAAATTGCGTTGAAAATTTTCATATTTATTTTGTTCTGTTCATGTAGACACTGACCTCACTGAGTCTTACTAACAATGGAATAGGACCTGTCGGAGCACAACATTTCGCTAATATTCTACGACATAATTCAGTGATTCTCTTTCTTTTCCTATGTATTTCATATTCATTTTTTTCTACGAAATAGACATTCACTGCGATAGAGCTTGATGCTAATATGATCGGAGACAAAGGAGTAGGATATCTAGCTGAAATCTTGCGAACTAATACGGTAATGTTCATACCATCTTTCTTTCTTGCGGGTCTATTTTCTTCAATATACAGACAATTAATGAAGTAGATTTCAGACTGAACTATATTGGAGACAAAGGTGCAGAATATATCGCTGATGCCTTACGATATAACAAGGTAACTTACAGTTTGTCTCCACCTAATTGGTATCCTTCGATTTCTATAAATATAGACAATTACTGAAATTGATATAAGTGACAATAAAATCGGAGACAAAGGAATAGAACATATTGGTAATGCCTTGCAACATAACACGGTAACTCACACTAGTGTCAAGTTTTATTCATGTTCATTTTCACGTTTACACAGACAATTAAGACAATGAAACTTCGCGAGAATTTATTCAGTAGCAAAGCGGCAAAATGCTTATTTGATTTCCTAGAAAGGAATAAGGTGAGCTATATTGTCTCTTTACTTTTCTAATATATTTGTTTTGTCCTTTTCATGCAGGCACTTCAAGAGGAAATGGACAGTTTTTGAGAACGTGGAAAGCTCTTGATCTTCAGCTTATGTACTTTTAACCTTAAAAAATGCTTTATTTTATTTTTTCACCAATTTTTTATGCGTAACATATCCATACATGATATATACCATTAGTTAGTTTTGGAACACAACATGTGTGATAGTGCACAAATTCTATAGAATAAAATCATTCACAGAATTTCGTACAAATGAACAACAGAATAAAACTATACATGATCTTTCGATCGTCAGAATTTGACCAGGTTAATATATCTTTCAAACTTACGTGAGAAATACTCGAGATGTGATAATTAAATAGAACATAGTCAGGATTGATACATGTTAAATTGTTTCTAATAAGGTTTTGAATCTTTCACGTTATTAAGTTAAATTTTCTTTTTTTCTCTACTGAATACTAGTTTTGTTGAGGAAAGAACAATATATTGAAGTGAGGTTTTGTCATATCTATGTCAACTAACAGTCTTGATCATTTCAGAGTTCAAGAACTGAAGAATATAGTTGTAAGGAGAAAGACAATTGTTTAAAATTCAAAATAGCGTGGAAAAGTTTGATTATCTTCAATCAGTTAAAAATAAACAGCTATGACGTTAGAAAAAGCCTTGAAAGTAATCTTTCTCCTCACATCTATTATCTTTTGTGCTTGAGCTTTGAAATGATAGAGACCATTAGTTTGCATCGATATAAAAAAAAAGTTCACTGCAATATGTTGTTTTTTCTTCAACAAAACTAACATGCAGTATAGAAAAAAAGGAAATTTAGCTTAATAACGAGAAAGACTCATAAAGCTTACTAGAAACAACTCAGAATATATCACTACTAGTATTTGAACAGGTATTGAAATAAGAGTTGCAAGTATTTTATCTTAATATTTTCATTCTATAAAAGGACATCGAAAGATAAATCTTGTTTATGATAAGAATATGTTATATTAAATATAAACATAAACAATGATTAATAATTCTACAACAAATAAAAAATGAGGCTTTATTTATAAATTCAACAATGCTTCGAATGAACAATCATGCTATTAAATAGAATACTCGATCATTTTCAATTGTACTTTACTTTTATTGGAAAATAAAATATAAGTTTTTTTAATTAGTTTTCGGTCAAATATTGCAATAGTATATTTCTCTAGTATAGAGTTTTAATTGAATAATTCGTGGTTTATAGATCATAATAGAAATATATCTTTGAAATGATATTCTATAATATGAGTTTTAAATCAATTAGTTGACACAAATTGAAATTGAAATTAACTGTAAGTATTCTTTTAATTTGTTTTTTTCAGTACACAAGTTTGTCATGGAAAATAAAGGTCAACTTTCATTCTCTTTACTTCTATATGTGATGCTAAATTCGTTCTAGACTCTTTAATAATATACATAATGATAGTAAAAGATGTTAGAAAAAGATTTTTCTTAACAAGCAATATATCGTTGATAAGAGAAGTTAAGCCATTAAACACAAAACTTTTCTTTGGTATGTAATCAGAATGGTCTAAGATTAGCATTAATTACCCATACTATCAAAGTACTTTAAATAACAGAAAGTAGAGAATCTTGTAATTTGTATTCTTGATTATAATTACACTTTACTTAA